AAGCAAAAGGCAAACAATTTTCCCCTCGCACATAGCACCATTTGGCTTTGGCACAGCCTTGGGCTGTTTCTGGGGCAGACAGACGCCTTCTTGGAGCTGCCGCTCTGCAGCACTGAAATGACCAGAGGACCAGAGACCGGAGACCAATTTTTGGAAGCCCGAAAGAACTTTGCAAATGCCAGAGATCATCGTGCAGCAGAGACTTTGCGCATTTTCCAAGCAGACATCCTGCTGCGATCCTTGGGCCGGGCAACAAAGTCCATGGACATAAAGAATCCTGAGCATAGCAATCAATGTTAATGAATTTTAATGGCTTCCACAAAGCAATCAAGGACTTGCAAGTGCTTTATCTGCTGTGGTCACACTCGACGGCGCTAATGATGTGAAACAACAATTGAAACGGCGAAATGCAAAGTACCTACTCCCTGGTCCCTGGTCCGTGGTCCGTGGTCCGTGATCCGAGGTCCTGTTCCGCTCATATCGCACACAAATTACTGGCCAGGCCAGGCAGTGGAGAGTGGAGCGACCACTAAAAATGCGCAACTTTGTAAGCCATTTTCCCCAACCCAAACCAACCCAACCATTTGTCGCATTTCGCTTAGCCATTTATTTATTTGTAAACTGCATTGTTTTTCGCCGCCATGAGTGGGGCCATGTTGTCCGGTTTCCCATCTTTGTTATTAAGAACGGCGTAATCATAGCTGGATGTGGGGTTTCTTTTTTTTCTTCCTTTTCTTTTTCCTATTTTTTGGTAAAGACCCCCCAATGGGGTCTGGCATGCTCTAATTAAGTGCATTTACTCTAATGAGCAAAAATGGCAGCAGGAGCAGGAGCAGCAGCAGTGGATGTTGCAGCAGTGGCAACAGCAACAACAGCAGCCAAAAAACTGTCACAGCTCCGTGAACGACGCGACCGTGCGTGAAAACTGCTGGACCTTCAGCTGGCGAGAGGAGAGCGCATCCTGGCCAAGTTTTGTGGTTTCATTTCTCGGAAGGTCGACCTCGTTTAAGGGCTGTTCCCCGAAAACCTTTTAAGCAAAGACTCCCCGCTCTCCCTCTCGCTAGTTGTGGCCTTTGGGGGGGATCTGGGAGGTTGGTCAGCACGGCCATTTGTCTATGCAAAATTTTGTGACGCTCATTAGTGCAATTTGCATGCATAACGGCAAATAGTAGTATGGCTGCAGACAGATGAGGCCACCGGACCTGTCCATCCATGCAGCCGTCTATTCCATCCACAACAAATACAGAAACAGATACAGATACGGATACAGATACAGCTGTAGGAGTGCGAGGGCGAGTAGGAGTGTTCTATGCAATTGCTCCTCCTTCCACATTCATCAAATTCAGAGACACAGGCAAAGGCATTTATGGAGCTCCGTTCATTGTCGAACTCAAATATGTAGACTTGCATTTTTGTATCCAACCATGCACATGTCCGCATCTGTGAGAGGCAGAGGCAGATACAGATACAGAGGGGCCCATCCTGATTTAGATTCAGATTCGGATTCAGCGACACTAAGTAAACATCAGCGCAGCTGTGCCAAAGGATAACAGCTCTCGTCGGCTCTGAAATATGCAAATGTCCCCGTCCTGTCCACATACTCTCGTATGAGCCTCTCTTCTTCTCCTCGCTGTTCGATCTGCCATCACATCCAGATAAAACACAAAACATGCCGAATTAGTAGAAAGCAAAACAATCAAAAAAAAAAAAAAGAAAGGAGAGGAGAGGGAACATTTTTCCGAAAAACCAAATTCATTTTCAATTAAGAATTTTTCAGCATATCGACACAGAATGTGTCCCGTCCTGTCCTGTCCTGTGCCTAATGCCAAATGCCTGTCTGTCGCTCGTACCGAGTGGATTGCCAATGGAAAAACATTTGAAATGCTAACTAAATTACGCAGACTTCACATATATCTATCGGTGCACTTGCGTATATAGTTTTTGCGCCATTTTCGCAGTGGCTGCTGATGTTGACACTCGCTCGACGGCGGGCATATGGCCGGGATGGGTGTCAGAATGTGGTCAAAATGCCAATTGCAAAACAATTGCATTTTGGTTACTTTGCCGTTGAATCCGGAATTTCGATGGCAGCCAACTAACAAACAGTGCGAGAACAGGGCTTCCGTTGACACCACCGAGACACCCTGCCTCCTCCTTCCCACCATCCCAATGGAATACGCTACATATTCTGGTGTACATCCAAAGACAATTAAATTCTAGATTTTCAGTTAAAAGGAAAATATTATACCAGACTCTCGCTCTTTTTGGGAAAGGGCGTGAAATTTTGAAATTTGAAATTGTTAGACTCGATTTTCTTTTTGTGCAGTGCGAGCACCAAAAATGGTTAGACGACAAGCAGTTCTGTCATATTCACACATGGCCCAGTGTGACAGACGGAACAAAAACCCAAAAAGCAATTAAATTGTACACTCTGCCATGGCAGCACCAGGCAACAGCTCAGCAACAAAAGACAGCAAAGGCATCAAGCAACAATATTATAACATTTGTCGACTGCGACAAAAACAAAAAAAAAAAGAAATAAAATAAAAATAAAACCAGCAACTATATTTTACATATATTCTCGAACAGCCTGAGAGAGAGATGCAAATGCTGAATCCTTTCTTTGCTTTTTTTTTGCCCACTTGGAATTGAATCCATGTGAGTGACAGGCTGACATGCAAATACGTTTAATTTCAAAAACTAAACTAATAAAAGCTTTGCTGACACTGGAAATCCCTTTTTACCAGGCCAGCATAAAAATACTACTCGTACAAACAAATGGGCAATCGAAATGAATTTCCAGCAAAAGTTGGGAGAACCTATGGTGCTCGGTTCGATTGGAATACAATTTTGGAATCAAATTAGCATACCATTCTTTAATCGAATGTGGCAGTGACATGCATATACGAAAAACCCAGCTCAACTCTTAACATAGATTGCAGTACAGTGGCAAAATACTCGATTGGTTTGGCAACTTTGAGGGCACTTCAACGCCCAATTCAATTTTTTTTGCGGTCGCCCAAACTTCAAGTCTTGTGGGAGCTTCGCACATGAATGATGGAGCATCATGGAGTGTAGCGTCCGTTTAATCAAAAAGCAATTTTCAAGAGCTTTCTCCAGACTGCCGCAACAATGAGTGCGCAGAGAGCCCCCACATATGTTAGCCATTAGAGATGGACAAGGGCCTGGTGCAAGCCCCGACAGAAAAAATACAGAAATTTAGAGACTATACCAAAGACGAGTGAATCGATCCAATCCGATCACCAGTAAAATTCTAAAATTTGTTGGATTTACTAACAATTTAGCAACTTTGGACATCATTTGGACAATTTTAATCATTTTTAACGTATTTTGTTCGCAGTGATATTTTGTAGAAAAATCGTAGAAAACTTCAACTTTGGCTCGGTATATCTTCGGGCTTAGCCATAATAACGACACGAATAAAAAATCCTATGAGATGGTCATACAATTCTTTTTTCAACTCAATCATATTTTTGGATGATAGAATTTACAGTATTCTAAGTATGAGGTTGTGATCTACTCCTCCCATTCTATTTTTTAATAATGCAGAGTGCTGTGTAATTATCTGATACAGATTGCGAATTTGTATGAATCAATCACATTAAATCGAGTACAACCGAATAATTTTAAAAAATCCCTAGCCTCCTCTCTACACCTAGAGAAAAAGGAACTAAAATCTGAAGCTTTTCAAATTTTTGTTATTAATTTGGAGCCTAAAGTTGAAATATACAAATTTAAATTATTTCACCTACATTTTGACACTTATATGAAATTATTTGATCTAAATATATATCATATATTATAATTAAATAAATTTCCAGCACATTTAATAGCATATATATATTCTTAAAGTGTTTTTTATACATTTATATTTTAATTAATGTATTCTATTTAATTTTACTATGTTTGTACATCTATAGATATGTTTATGCCACTTTTCTCTCAGTGTGATAGCTGGTGGCCTCTGACACTGGGCGTAACGAATGCAGAATTTAGGAAAATTGCAACTCAATGATGCGGCAGATATTTCAATGCAAAATGATAAATATTTCGATGAGGCTGGGCAGCTCCTTTAAACTACAAGCGAGTGTAAGCGAAACCTTTACGTGATCGGCCCAGGAAGGGAACAACAATACACCCGAGTCCTATGAAAGCTCACACTCGCTCGTAGGGACACAGAGAGATGCCCAGAGTCATGCTCTGCCATAGAATACCATTAGTGGGGGAGGGGATGTCTTTCTCAATCTGGCTGTTAAAATCGGCAACGCAACAAAAGAAATCGCACACTTCAACATTTTGAATTTGTAAAAGGATATTTTTCACATTATAATAAGAAATGAGACTGGAGACGCGCCTCGCATGCTGTGCGGCTGCTGCTGCTGGGAGAAAACCCAACCCTCTGCAGCCGCACACTTTAAAATGCAGAACAGCTGAAAAATCATATAAACACAAATAATAAAATCGACAATTTGGTAAGAGGCGCACGCACACACACAGCCAAACGCGCTTAGATGCGAGTATCTGTGTGTGTCTGTTTCTGGATGCGTATACATGTGGGTGTGTGTTGCAATGAGCACATAACCGCAAATGTACTGGCAACAAAACGTGCCGCGATTTCCTAAAAAGACCCATGAAAATGCTCCAAGGACACTTATATTTCCCAATCGGCACACAGACTCCAAGTTCTGATGGAAAAGTCCCCTCGTAGTCGGCCGCAACCTCTTTGGGCAGTGAATGTACTGGTACGACCCTCTGTTCTCATCTTAAAATGATTCAATTTTATATAGACTTTTCATTAAGATAGTTTGTTGTTAAGGACTTGGTTTTAGCTGTTAGCTGTTCGTATGGCATATGGCCTTCCATACCATATAATCAGCAATTCGTTACCAGACACAGAAACGAATCAATTTAGAGGCACACCACGGTAACGGAGCCATCAAAATGGAAAGTTTCTCCACTTGAAGCGACAGTTTTTCCATGAAAATCAGCTAAGAATGTTTGCACTGGTTTGGCTGAGTCTACTAATCCTCGCCAGAGCTTCGGAAGATGAGGATCCATCGCCAAAAATACAGCCGAGAATTTTCAATGGGAAAGAAACGGGCAGCGGTACCCTTGGCGGCTTCGGTGTCCAGTTATTCTACCTGAAGAAGCTCATCTGCTCGGGCACGATCCTGTCAACGCGACACATTCTGACGGCTGCCCACTGCTTTGACGTAGGGAACCCACAATGGTTCCATGTGGTGGCAGGCTACACGAACCAGTACGAGGGCCACACGAAGACCTCAATTAAGAACGTTCTCATAAAGATCAAGATCCATCCCGAATATCAGAAAGTTAAGTTCATAGCCGACTTGGCCGTGGGCAAGACTCTCCTACCGTTAAAGAGCAATCGCATTGGCTATGCCAAGGTCTGTAACTCCCAGCTCTATCCCAAGGAGTTTGTAACCGTCGCCGGCTTTGGGATCGATGGCCGATCCGGTCTCGGAGTCCGCAATAGACTGCACACCATGCGAGTGCCAATCGTGGATAGAATGGCCTGCGAGCGCAGCATTGGCCGCACCCTTCCGCCCAACGTGATCTGTGCCGGCGGCTATGACCATCGCACCCTCTGCGACGGCGACTCTGGCGGGCCCCTGCTGCTCATGGAGGAGGTGTGCGGCATCAGCTCCTGGACGTATCAGTGCGGGGAGTCCGACAAGCCCGACGTCTACATGAGTGTCAAGTTCTATGCACAGTTTATCAAAGAAACAATGCAACAATTGGGCTACTAAAAGAATGCTCGTAGAGCTTCGGGGCAGAAACTGCTGCATATTGAACCCCCAATAAAAACTGTAATTTCTATATCCCTACAGAAAACAAGAAAAGGTTTTACGATCAGCAGAAATATATAAGCCAGGTAGACTACAGTGTTCCATGATGGATTTCCATACATTCCTTGATCCAACGGGCAATAAAATTCAACCGTAATAAGAAAAATTATAATGATTCTGTGGAATTTCCATCTGTAAATCAGATCAAGAAAACGCAGTCTGTAAGGTGCTAATCTCCTAGAGTTTCCAGAACCTGATTAAATGTAATGTAGCCATGTCAAGTTCTACACGTGCATGTCGCATGTAGAATGAGGCGCTCTTTGCACCTACCTATCGTTCACGTGTCATCGGCTCATTTCTTGCGCTCCCGCTCTCGCTGCTGTCCAACCGAGCGTGAATGGAGAGGGCAAATTGCAGCGTTGGCGCCCGCAACGACACCACACACCGGCAAATCTCAGCAGAAAAGAGTGGAAAGCCAGAAACGACAAAAAACACGCAAGCAATAAAGATATCTCATCGGGCAGCGGGAGTGGGCAAGGCAACGATTCCGCCGCTGCACTATGGTCCGAACGACCACTTTTGCTGGCCAAAACCTAATTCTTAAAAGTCAAAACTAAAATCTGGGGTTGATTGCATTACAAAAAGAGTGGCCATCTACCCAACTGTTATTATTGTAAAGCACTTGAACGCACCGACGCACAACGAAAACTTGATCGAACGCCGAGACCTGATTAAATTTTTTTGATGAATCTTAATCAGTCCGGTTTGTTTTAAATCAGTTGTTTTGAGTAGTGAACTCTATCTAGTAGTTATGATGTCTTTGTATTTGTAGGTTAACGTGAGTCATTTTGTAATGAAAGGTAATTTTTGGAAAGGTGTACAAAGTTTGTCCTACCTAGGTCACCCTAAAACCTTTTGTGTGTCGTAGATTAATTCTTGAAATTTGCATTAATAGATCATAAACTCAAATTCGAAAATGCAGAGTTGTTTGCCGTATGGATTTAAGAGAAGGATAAAATTATGAATTATTTGAAAACGGCTCTTAAGGCGACATATCATATGAAATTAATAAAGCTTTTGAAGATACCAGCAAGAAAATTTGGAATCGTTTGGCAACAAAACGGAACAAATGCCGGTCAAATTCAAAGAGGCCAAAAGCCTTAACGTAAGTAGATCTTGTTATTTACCAAAAAAAGGTCGCAGAGCACAAAGAATGGAGGCTGCAGATCTTGTTATATCAGAGGGAGGAAACATCAATTTATTGATTCAAGCGGTAAGCATGGCCGCACGAAAACGAGGTAAATACGATCGCGCATTTATTTCAATACTTTTATCTTTATGCCCAGAGAATGCTAAATTAGTTCGTAAGGCTGTACAGGACCCAGTCGGAAAGCCGCACCTATCCCACCTAACGAGGCGTTAGACCTACTTCTAGACAAGGACTATTCTAAATAATAATTTAAATATGCATTATTAAAAAAAAGGGCGGTGCCACACCCAATACAAAAACTAAATAAAGAAATCTTGTTTCGTTCGGGAGCTATTAATTTTGGCCAACAAAAGTGGTCGTTCGGACCATAGTGCGCTGTCGCCGAGCTGCGTTTTTGTCTCTGTTTCTCCCACGCCTCTTGCTGCAGCTCATCAGGTCGTCGCCGGCAACACTGCCAACTACTTAGGCATTTGTTGAGTATGCTTTCTCTCTCTGCAGCCGGTAACAAGTATTCGCTGTATATACTCTGGCTCAAGGTGAATCGATTTAAGGTGAGGGCTCACTCACGCTATATTGATTTGTCAACGGCTTTGCATTGCCACACCTTTTTCTCAGAATAGGCGAATATTGTGAGAGCCTTTTACGGGATTGAGTCACCTAATATTTATACACTGTGGTCGGCATCTGCAGTCGACAACATTGCCAACTACTTATTTCTTGAATGCTCTGGCTCTGTTGCCGGCACCACGTCATTTCTGTATGCCTCGTCTCAGGGTGTAATAATAAAAGGTAAGGGATTCCCGAACTACCGAGGTTCACATTTTGTTTCCACCCTCTCTTCCATAGTGAGTGCGTTGTGTGCCAGCACGATCTACCCAAAAATATGAAATTATCATGAGAGTACTCTCTGGAAATACCTCACCTAACTATGGGTCGGCATCTTCAGCCGGCAGCATTGCCAACTATCTGTGGTATGCCCCAGCGCTCTCTCTCTGCCAACCTCGCTCTTTCTACCTATCGCTGGCACTGTACTCCCTCCCTGTCTGTGGGTCGCTCGCTCTCTGGTCTCTCTGCCCGCCCGTTCATTCCGTTTGATTTCTCAAAGTGAACGCGCGCAACGATCGCAAGTAGATCCCGTTTTCGAATTCTGAACCTAAACAAGCGCTGCATCACTGCTTCCCGAGATCTGACATAAATTTGGTCTTCCGCGAGTGCGTATTTGTGTTTCTGTGTATCTGCAAAAGAGAGTAATTGATAGTGTGTCCGTCAATTCAATCGATACAATACAACTTTTAGTGTCAGCAACAAACAGTCTTCGATATGAGGGAAATTGTTCATCTACAGGCGGGCCAGTGCGGCAATCAGATCGGTTCAAAGGTGCGTATAATTAATATTCAATTAGAGACCGCACAAGTCATGGCACACACCTTTCTCTGACTTTTCGCTACGTATCTAACCTCACATGTTTAATTATAAAACAGAATCGAATCGAAAGAGAGAAAGCAGCAAAACGTTCTGCGCGCGCTCGCTCTCTGATTTTGTCGCTCTTCCCGGTTACCCTCTCTCTCTCTCTCTCTCTGTGTATGCGCTCTGTATCTCAGATTTGCTCTCGTCCTCTCGCGTTTTGTTTGCAGCTGGGCGGCAATTGAAATTGGGGGGCGGGGAGAAAACAAGAGAGAGTGAGAGAGAATTCCGTTAGTTGGAGGAAACTATAGAACTGCAAAAAAGCATAAAATAAACGAAATGGGACCGCGTATAGTGCCAGCTCTATGGTTTATCTTATCGGTGCGAGATATATGCATACACACAGACGACATACACAACGTATCAGTAGCACGCACAAAATGTGAGCATTTTCGCAGCCTGGGAACAAAATGCTGCCCATATAAGACCATAAAATCCCCAGGCAAACCCAAGGCAAACGTGTCAAACGACCTCTGTCAGGTGTAAACAATTAGCAAAGCGGTTTGGATGATGATGATCTCAACGTACCATGTTGGAACAAACCATAAGTAGATCTAGCTCAAATGTAATCTAATCGGGGTAACAAGTTTATTTAAATACTATACACTGTACTGTTTTCAAACAAAACAGTTACATACTCTTCTGGAAGGTATTCTGAAACTTCCACGAAGGTCTGTCTGTCTGTCTGTCTGTCTATCTGTGTGTGTCTTTGAAGCTTCCTCGTCATTAACAGGTTTATGCACGTCGTGGTGGTGCCACAACTCGTTTTGGGATAGTTTTTCACGGCATTCTTGTGCCCAATTCCCGAGCTCATTCTCATTGTAGTACTCTACAGTTGACTGAATTCACAACAATCAAAACTCATTTACGGGCAAGCAGATGGCTCTATGAACGAAACCTAGAAAACTATTTCCTCACTTTTTGTCTGAAATACTCGAAAAGGTAGCTGGCCAATTGCACCTGGCTACATGTAATTAAGACGCCAAGGCGGCAAAGCGGCAGAAGCGGGTCTTTTAGGTACTATCTGTATCTTGTAGCTGATGTATCTAACACAGTGACTCAGACTATGCCTCCCTCTTCTAATCAGTTGGCTTGTTTACAAAACTTTAAACATAACTAGTTGTCAATGGGGCTAAGGAGGCGATAAGAACTAGAACCCAAAAATAGCAATTACATAGTGTTCACAGCTATTTCTTGCGACACCCCCGGGGCGGAGACGGGGACGGGGACTTATGCAGAGACTCAGATATGGAACGTCCCAGAAGAGAGCCAGAGAAGCCGTCCCCCGACTTCTGCTCTCTTTGCGTGCATGTTGGCAGGCAATTAAAAATGTCGAAAAATGGAATGAAAACATTCTTGTAAATTCTAAAAAACAAAACCGGGAGTGACTGCCCATTCTAAGCTAATTCAGCGCATTAGCATTAGCTCGCACAATTTGCGGCGCCAACAACATAATCATCAAGCGACAAGCAACAAAAAGGAAAGGCAAGGAGAGGCAAGGCGGCTAGTCGAAGCATTAGATACTCTCACATCCTGGTCGCTCGCGGCTAATCTTAATTCCTTTGGTATTTCACGTTCACATGTGACTGGCAATAAACAGATGATTTTCTTCACTTGTGACTGGCAATAAACAGCTGATTTTCTTCACTTGTGACTGGCATTAGACAGTTGATTTACTGCTTTCATGCAGTGCTTCCTAGTGAAGGGAGAACAGGCGTATAAAACAGAATTTAGTTTGCAGATACATTTTCTCTGCTGGCAAATACTTGTGCAAACGTTTGCCAAAAATCATAATACCCTCATATCCTCAAGGGTATATAAACAGATGATTATTTCACTTGTGACTGGCAATAAACAGCTGATTTACTGCTTTCAAGCAGTGCTTCCTAGCGAAGGGGGAAATTTCTACCAGAGCAGAAGTATAAAACGGAATTCAGTTTGCAGAAACATTTTCTCCTGCAAACATTTTCTAAAAATCATAATACCTTCAATCCCCAAGGGTATATATAGAAATAAAAAAAAGAATTACCAGCAACAACAACAACCTCCACGCGGGGCAGTCGTTGACGTTTGACACAGTTATTTTTGTTGTTGTTGTTGTTCCTGTGTATGTCTTTTCTCTGCATTTCCCAGAGAGCAGTTTTCTCCGCCCGTTTGCATATTTCGTTACGTTTCTCTTCTTTTTTTTTCTTTTTAACACGCTTTTCCACTTAAATGTACGAGTATGTGTGTGATTTTTTTCGTGATTTGTTGGGTTAATTAGGACGCACTTTTACCCCGATACAAAAGGTTTTCCGGCCAAGCCCACTGCATTTTATACATACTCGTACACCCCATTACGCCCCCAAAAAAGAGCCAT